ACTCACTATGTAGACCAGGCTGGCCTTGAACTCACAGAGATCCACCTTATTCTGCCTCATGAGTGCTGGGATTAAAGGCATGTGCCACCACACCCGGCTATTGTTGTGTATTTTATCTGTTTATTTTTGATGTTATTGTGAATGGGAATGTTTCCATGACCTCTCTCTTGCCCCCGCCTGCGGGGACCCTGTACAGGTAAAGCTCAAGGGGGACCACTCCCTGAAAGGAAAAATGGGCGAGAAAGAGTAGACAGAGCCCAAGCAAGTCCACTTGTCAAGGGACGTTTTATTGAATTGGAAGCTTTTCTTATATACAATTTGTATTTAGAAGGGGTTGAAGAAGTTGGTCAAAAGATTACAGCATTTTTATGGGTATGGGAGGGGGACTGAGCAATTCAGCAACCTGACTGACCACCAGGTGTTCCAAGAGATTACTGCATGACTTATTTTCCCAAGAACTGTTTGCAAGAGAGAAGAGAAAGATAACTTTGCCATAAATTCTTTCTCAAGGTTACTAGTGCAGGCAGAATGTCCTGCTTAAGTCAACTGTTTGTAGAGCTATATTATATTTTTTGGTAATGATTGTTGATTCTCCAGCTCCCGACACTCTCTTTTACTGCTTATTATTGGTATATAGAAAGGCTAGTGACTTTAGTAAATTGATTTTGTATCCTATGACTTTTCTGAAAGTCTAGAAGTTTTCTGGTGGAATTTTTGGGCTCTCATGTATAATACCATATCATTTGCAAACATGGATAATTTGATCTCTTCTTTTCAAATTGGTATGCCTTTATTATCCTTCTCTTGTCTTATTGCTCTAGCTACAGTTTGAAGGACTGTATTGAAAAGAAGTGGCAATAGTGGACAGCCTTATCTCATTCCAGATTTAAGGGGGAAATCATTCACATTTTTCACCAGTTAGAACCATGTTGCCTGTGAGGTTGTGATATATGACCTTTACTATGTTGAAGTATGTTTCCTTCAGTTCAATTCCCTCCAGGAATTTTTGTTTTGAAGGCATGTTGGATTTTGTCAAAGGTCTTTTCTGCATCTATTGAGATAATCATTTAATTTTTGTCTTTAAGTTCATTTGCATGGTTTATTACAGTTATTGACTTACATATATTGAACCATCCCTGCATCTCTAGAATAAATCCAACTTGATCATGGTTGATAATCATTTTTATATGTATCTTCATGTTGTTTGTATTTTATTAAGAATATTTTCATCTCTGTTCATTAGGGATATTGGTTCGTAGTTTTCTTTTTTGTTGTCTTTACCTGGATTTAGTCTTAGAGAAATACTGGCTTTATAGAAGGAGTTCTTTTGTTTCTGTCTTCTTGAAAAATAGAAGTATTGGCTACATTTCTTCTTGGGAGGACTTGAAAACTTCTGCTATGAATCTATCTGTACTTGGGCTTATTTTACTCAGGAGTCTTTGTATTATTGTTTGGATCCTTATTTGTTATGGGCCAGTTTAAGTTACTGATCTTTTCTTGATTTAAATTTGGTGGTTTTTTTGAATCTAGATATTCATCCATTTAATCTAGACTTTTTAATTTGATAGAATACAGATTTTTTTATTTATTTTTATTTATTATTTTTATTTTATGTATATGAGTGTATTGCCTGAATGTATGTGAGTGCACCTATGTTGTGCAATGCCATGGAGGTCAAAAGAAGGCATCGAGTTCCCCTGGAACTGGAGTTAAGGCTTGTAGCTGTGATGTGGGTGCTGGGAATCAAACCTGGGTCCTCTGTAAGAGCAGTGCTTTTAACTGCTGAGCAATCTCTCCAGCCCCAGAATATAGGTTTTTAAAGTATTCCTTTATAATATTCTCTATTACTTTGGTGTCTCTTGTAATGTTTCCCTTTTACTCACTGATTTTTTTTATTTAGATTTGCCCTTTCCTAGGCTAAGGGTCTATCTTATTTTTCTTTCCAAATAACCAACTCTTAGATTTAATGATTCTTTGCATAGTTTTCCTTGTTTCTATTTCACTGATTTCTCCTCTCATTTTTATTATTTCTTTTCATATGCTGGGATTTTTTTTCTTAGTTTTTCCAAATTCTTGAGTTGTACCATTAAGTCATTTATTTGTAGTCTTTCTGATTATTTTATTGTAGGTGCTTAGAGCTATAAACTTCTTACGACCTCTAATGACTGCTTTTCATCTGTCCCAGAAGTTTTGTTGGGTTCTGTTGTTTTTCATTTCATTTCATTCCATTTCTTCTTTGATCCATTTGCCATTCAGTAGTTTGATGTGTAATCTCTATGAGTTCAATGAGTTCATGCAGTTGCTAGATCTTTTTTGCTGTTGATTTTAAGCTTTATTAAGTCCAATTAATAATTTTTTTCTGTTTTTTGAGTTTTTTTTGTGCCCAAATATTTGTTCTAATTTAGAGAAACTTCCATGGGCTACTGAGTAGAATATACATTCTTTGGTACTTGGATGAAATATTCTTCAGTTTTCTGTTAGGTCCATTTGATGTATGATAATATTAATTTATATGTTTCTGTATTTATTATTTGTCCAGATGACCTATTTTTGGGAGAATGTGGGGTATTGTAGCCACCTATCATAGCTGAGTTGGGGTTAATCTGTGTCTTCAATTGGTGCACCAGAATTTGGTACATATATGTTTGTGATTAAATGCATGGAACACATCACAAACTTACCTGTCATCCTTGTGCAGAGGCTATTCCACGCTTCTCTGGATCATTCCAATTTTACCATATACACTGTCACAATCAACAAGGGTTTCTTTTTAACTCCAACAGTGCCAGGCCCCTTCAACTGATCGGCTTAGAGTAGTGTTCCTCTGGACATATTTCAGCTTGAAGCAGTGACCTAACAATGTCCACTTTTTTGTTTAAGTAGACCAATCAAAATTAAGGGAGGCAGATATGCCTCCTACCTCTAAAGACATGTAAAAGACCAGGCCCACATGGGGGCTTTAGATTTTTTTGGTTTCTGAATCAATTTTCAGAAATGTGGAGAGCTTTTCTCTCTGTATGAGTGTGGGTGTGAATGTGTGATTCTTCATTCTTTCTAAATAAAGTCTGTTATATCTTATATTTTTCATGCCTTTTATTTCTTTAATTGGTGGAGAAAACCAACCCAATCAAGACCTATAGACTGATACAATGGGCACAACATTCTCTTTGGTATCTCTGTGGAGTGTTGTCATAGTTCAGTACTAAACAGGGTTAGAAGAAGGAAAGGGGCTAATTCTGTTTCCTAGGGATCAGCAGAACATGTGTTTACTCAAGCCAACTTAATGCAGGCCATTTGTTTAGTGTGGCCTTCTGGTGTGATCAAGAGATGTAGAGGCTACAAGACAGAAGAGGCTGCTGCCAGTGGACACTGGTTTACAATAAACCTCTTACCCAGAATGGGAGTCACTTCTAAACAGTACATTCAACCAGGACAGTTGTTCTTGACCCTTGTCAGGTATGTCATATGTGTGTGCTATATTTTTATAGCTCTGACAGTGAAGTATGTTTATTGACGGCATCAACACAGGGGTAAGGCACTATGTGGGGGTGTGAGGAATTTCACTGGGCAACAGGTCATTTTCAGTTCTGTTACAATCTTACAGGGCAGCTGTCATACATCCAATCTGTCATTAACCAAAATACTTTTATGTGGTTTACAACCATGTTAGCTTTGTGACCCATGGTTAGCTTAAACTGTGTATTGTAGAAAAGTCATGATTTTAATAAACAAAGTCTCATTTTTCCTTATAAAATAAGACATCAGAGACAAGTGACAATGACTGGTGCTGATTAATGACAGGGATGCATTCTAGGAAATATGCTGCAATGCTGTTTCACTTCTTGTGGGACCAACATAGAATGTTAGTTCTATGGTTGGTGTTGGTGTGATATTCTGTAGTGTCAATGACCCAGGCTCACTTACCCTTCTGCTCAGTCATCCTCAATTAATAAGTACATCCACTGTTTTAACGGCCACTGGAGCTCTTTTTACCACATCAGCATTTCACACTGCAGGAAGAAGTTGTGTATGAGACCATGACCCTCAGTTGAAACAGCTCCCATTACACAGACTTTCCAGAGCTTCTTCCCCAGGTTTCTCCTTGTCCTGTGGACACTTCCAGAAGACTTCAGATAGTCACTGCATAGCCTCAGGTTCCTGACTTTTCAATGACATTGACAGTGTAGGGGAATATTGGTCTGGAGTTCAGTAAAATATCCTTTCATTTGGGTTAGTCTGGGTTTTGTGTTTGGGGCAGAAAGGTCAGAGAGAAGTACAATTCTCAGTAGATCTAGTGGCTTGCTGTCAGCATGATCAGAGGGAGGTGGAGTCATGTTCCTCTGCACTAAGAAGTTGCTCCCTCTGGCTGTGTGTGCCTTGGATGAAAGGACAGCCTACATGTAACACATCTGAAGGGAGCATTTGTGAAAGGCATTTGCTATTTTATTTTAGAAGATGGATTCCTGGCTTCTCTATTTGTATCAACTAAGGACTCAGGCATGCCTGTTTCATACTCTGAATGACAGCCCAGCACTACTGTATTTATTTTGTCATTCAGACATTTCCAATTATGGCCATTGGTGCTCTCTTATGGAGCTCCTTGTCTTTTTCACCCTTTGCTCTAATGTGTTTAGTACATGTTGGCTTTCTGGAACTCTCAGCTGTTCCTCTCTTTTAGGGTCTTTTCTCCACCCCCAACCCCAAGCAACTCCAATGCTTTACCTGAAAAGCAAGGTCAGGATGACAGACTCATTTCTGTTGTGGTGAAGGCAGCTTCAGTGCTTGTACAGGGGCCTAGGAGATGTGGAGATGCACACTAACTGTACACATATACAGCTCCTGTCTCTATGTATATACAGTAAACACAAATCCTTGAGTGTCTGGGTTAAGCTAAGCAAATTTTGTGGATGTCTTTCTCCTGGCTTATTTCTGTGCAGTAATCTAAGTGCATAACAGAAAATTTCTCTTCTGTGCTTACAGCTCACAAACTTTCTCTCCTGAAGATATAATCCAAGCTTATCACCTTTGGGCTCCAAATTCTTATATACAATGGATAAGTTAAATGCATCGTTGCTTCTTTTAGAAATTGGGGACAATTCATGGAAGATTAAAGACATTATCTTTAGTTACTTTTCCCCTCTGGTATGCAGTAAGTACAGAATCGTAAAACTAAATGCCATTCATTGTTGAAACTGATGATTCCACAATTAAGTACACTTTGAACTTTCATATTTAATCAATTAAAAATAAGTATTTAGTCAATTATTAATTGCACCATGCTGAATTAAAGAAAGAGAGAAATTATACTAAATTTGGAGTCATGTTTCTCTTATTTTGATGTTAACTGTAACAGGGCCCTGACTAAAAGACATCCATCTTACCATTCTATGTGACCTGGCCTAGTTATTTTCTAGTTTCCCCAAAATTGCCTACACCCTATGGGGACCAGAAATTCTTAGAAACTGCCACATCTCCGGCTGAGATGAGATAAATTCCTGCCTAATGTTGTATCGGCTTCTGTCCATGCTTGCTTGCTTGCTCTAGGGGGGCAATAATAATTTTAAACTTTTACTGACATATGCAAATATGTGCTGGCGTTTGAACCATGATGATTGGCCCACTGATGTTCTGTTTGAACCATGCTTTCTGTAATCCTATAAAAACTCTGGTTGGCTGATGTTAGAGGCTGCTTCTATTTACGATATAGACAGCCTGGTCAGCCATAATAAAACTTTACCTTGCTGCCTTCAATCAAGTGCTGTTGGTAATTTTTATTCAGAATCTGACCTATAGCATTAACTCTGAAATGTCAGCTAGTCAGACAATCCAGTATCAGGCAGAAACATCCTCCTGCCTATCATGTTCCTGACTCAGCATGAACTGCATGGACCCAGTGGCCATGCCAAGTCACAGCCCTGACCTTTGTCCATCAAATATGCAATCCATTGCTTACCTTTGTTGATTAGAGAGCCTGGAAATAGGCATTGAAGCCCTGCATTCCATTGCCTAGAGATGCAGCCTCATTTTGAAGCATAATTTGAGTCTCTGCCATGGTTTGTGAAGATCCTGTTCAATAAACACGAAAACTTCTCGGTTAGTGAAAAACCCCGAGTGAGAACTTTCCCCAAAACTTATGCAATGCGTGGTGATAGCCGATTTACCTTATGACTGTTTTCATGTATTCTCACCCAGCTGTAGAGGCGCAATCAGTCTTCACCCTTGGCACATTCTCTTCAGTGTGTGCTGAATGGATGTCCTCATGCATTCTATTTTTGCTTCAATCATAAGATTTTCCATTAACTCTGGCACTGGTTTTTAAACTCTTCAGTAATAGTTTTATTTAATCAATTTTTGGTTATGAGTAATATTCTTTTAAATGTCATTAAGAAGTATGATCAATGTATTATTTATAAAACATACTTTTGATCAAGAGTTAGAAAAATCAAAACTTCCAGGAAAAAAATGCTTTAATTAGCTAGGATTATGCCATTTGGTGACAAGATTTATAAAAGGCAATATAAGGGACTAAGGTTTTCAGTATCATAAAAACAATTTTAGATAATCATCATTATGCTTCCTATTCAAAAATTACTTTTTCAAAACCTATATGGCATTCAAAATATTTACTTCAAGTTCATATTCTCAATTTTATCCTGCAAGTCAGTCTTGATTTACAGTTATAATGATACTCCAAGCTTTTATTTAATTTTATCCTGTATGTTAGTTTATTCTTTGGTATCTGTTACTGTGTTTGCTTTGAGAAATCCTTGTTAGTCAGAGATCCATATTAGTGAGTAGGTGTTTTATTGTTTATCAAAGATATGTAAATGTGAATCTTGATTACCCGAGAGGAATGACGATGTGGTAAATTAAATTTAGCATAGATTAAATAACTTATTAGTCATGTTTATTATTAATAATAGTTGCAAAATTAAATGTACACCAAAGCCAAAATAGTATAGAAAATTAATGATGGAATAATTTTTAAAAAGAAAATCAGATCAAAAATCTGTGCTGAAAAAGAATCTAATGTGGGTTAAGGAATAGCGTTACTGATTTGATTTTGCTTGGAACTTCAGCATAAGTTTATAAGGCACTGACACGTGTTACCAAATTTGTGGGTAAGACTCTGAGGGACACACGTTCCAATGGAGAAATGCTTATAAACCAAATTGCTGCTGTCTTTTCTACTGAAAGGGCCAGAGAAATTGTAAGTGTTTTGATAGACATTTAAGGCTATAGTATATTATTCAGTAAGAAAAGTGATTGGAAGAAATGGACTCATTTTATGCTCATTTCTTCTGATAAGAGGTACTCTGTGAGTGTGATTTTTATAATATTCTTTGTCAAATATCTTACTTAATTGCAGAGCCATATCCATAAGTAATCTATGGCCATTAAGTTTAGTAAGAGATTCTGTGCACTCTGCTTTGTTCCACTCAAAAAAGCATTTTTCAAATGGTATAAATCTCTATAACCATATGCAACCGAATTAAGTGTCATAATTTTATCCCAGTTCTCTTTTATTTGGATCACTCAAGGGTAAAGGTGACTTTAATAGCAGTAACAGCCTAGTCACTGTAATTTAAAAATCCTATAAAATATTCTGGTTTAAAATATAATTTTTGTTGGAATATGTTTTAGCATGTTCAAAATGTGAAACAAGGCTAGGAGATCATTTAGTGGGTAAGTGCTGTGCAAGCCTGGGGAAGTGAACCCCCAGCACCTAGGTGAAAGCCAAGCATGCATGCTGTCTGTGCCTCT